GACTATAAATTCTTACTTGTTAACTTTAAAATTATTTTCCCTAAATGGGGTTTTATGATCAATCATGGACGGACAGATAGAATTGGATAGATCATCTTTCTTATAAAACTAGTTTATTTCGAATTTTATCCCTCAGTTAGTTTTAAACATTAGTGTCAAATTTTTGAAGGGAACTGGGACCAAATGTTTATGTGCAATTTATTTCTTTTTTTCATCACAATTGCAGCATAATAAAAACGAGTGTTTCAGCTATTTCCGTATTTGTAAAAAAGCTATGTGAAGTCATAGTTCGATGTTTCGATCCAAACGAAATCATAATGAAACGTTTTGGTAGAGGGATTTAGGTCTAAATTAAAGTTATTTATGCAGAATTTCAACGTGATATTAGTGTTTATAAGTAAATTTTGACCTTCAAGTCATTTTCTGAGGGCGACTTTGTGTGGGGGCTAGGGTCAAACGAAATCATAATGAATAATCCCGGTATAAAAAGATCAGTCAATCAAAAGAAGCACTAATTGTCTGTCCATCCACTTTTCAATTATTTGTTTTCTTAAATAACATGAGCGGTCAAGAAATTATTGTCAGCAGAATTAGATCTAGTTTTTCAAAGTTTTAAAACAAGTTTTCTATGAAGTCCCTTGCTGAAATATCCTCCAAATACTACTGCTGCTAATTGCCCTAATTTAGGCAGACGTTAAGAAATTTTCATATTTCAATTCTAGCATAAAATCGAAATCTTCTGTAACAATTATCACTGTGTTAATTTTCACACATTCTTTAGCATATGTCAAGCGTGCAATTCCACAAATGACGGCAATTTTATTTGCGTCTTGTTTACAATAACGATGAATCCATTCGATTCAAACTAATTAAAGTAATTATTACTTATTTAAACATTTACTTAAAGTATTAAATAAACAAATGATTTCATTTAAAATGTCATTAATCCAAGCGGCTTATTTCGTTTTGTTTAAGTTTGAAATTATAATAAAATTTATATTATAATTATCGCTGATTTCTCTGTTCATCTAAGAGCAACATTAAACATTTACAGTGACTACAATTAGGCATCATATTTGTATTATTATGTTCATTGATTATTGCTTGATTTTTTCGTTAGCTTTTATGTATTTTACGCTTTTAGTTGCGGATTTGTAAAAAGCGATTTTAATTTCGTATCAATTTAAAATGCCAAAAAATATCAGTAGCTGTCAATTTATTTTAATAATCAATAATAATCACTATTATTGCTGTTGTTGTTTGCATATACAACTACCAATTGCTTTTTGTAAAATATTGAAATACATACTTCAGTAGTGGTAGTATGTATGTACGTACTTACTTATTTGTTTACTATTATTTTTCTAGCGACTATGTAAATACAAGAGCGACACAATGGTATGGTCTTATCCGCCAACAAAAACTGTTCGTAAATATTGTGAAAATGTGTTAATTCTATATTTTTCATAAACATTTTGATTTGATTTTTGTACCCTAAGCGTTTGTGCTGATGTTTGTAATACCCAAAAATATTGGTCCTACACCCACCTTAAACTGCACCAATCGGCTCAGAATTACTTTCTGAGTCGATTAAGCTATGTCCGTCTGTCCACCCGTTCGTCTGCCTGTGTGTCCATGTAAACCGTGTGCGCACGCTATAGGTCGCAATTTTCCACATAATTTTATGAAATTTGGCACATAATCTTCTTGTGACCCAAGGACGAACGCTATTGAAAATATCGCCTAGCCCCCATACAACCGTACAGCCCGAATAGGGCTTTTAAACTTATAATAATGTTAAAGAACGTATAATCTCCACAAAAATCGGAAAATCTTAGTTTTATATAAGTTTAAATGATACTGCCGATTTTCGTAATGATACGGCCGCATTTGACCCTAGTCCCCATACAAAGTCCCCTTCAGAAAATGACTTGAATGTGGAAATTCACCTTTAAGCTCTACTATCACATTGACATTCTGCATAAATAACTTTATTGTCATCGTAAATTGATACGGATAGGACCATATTTACCTTTGACCCCATACAACCCTTTTTTGGTTACAAAATGCTAAAATATTTCGGAATTAAGGTAAAAATGCTTTATTATACAAAAAACAATCCACATATTTAACATACTCACTGGTGTAGGGTATCATATGGTCGGCCATGTCCGACTATATTCTTATTTGCTAAATTTGTCTTACTTCTGTACTGTCCATTTTTGGCAAATTGTAGTTAAAAGAATTATTTTTAAATAATTATTAACAATGAATTGTTTTGATATAATTTTGAAAATTTTTCTTAAATGGACTTAACACTTTTTCAAAGTCATTATTTAGTTTTTAAAATGCATAATACCATTTCTTTAAGTAAAGAAATCGAAATCTATAAAAAATGTAAAATTGTTATGATTATTGCCAATATACTTGTTTAAAGAGAAAAAATCTCAAATATTGTTAAATTTTATTTTTATTGTACACGAAATCAAACACAGTGTCATGTCAGTTAAATTCGTTTTTTTTTTTACCCAACCTCCACTATCCACATCCATTGAGTCGAATTTAAAACCAATATCAGACCCCATTTAAGTATCTAGTATTTGTTGCATACGACTGCACTGCGTTATGTTCAAATCTTTTTAGATTAAATTGCATTTATGTCTTTTTTTTGTCCAACTTAAATGCGTTTATATTGTATTTTTTATTGAGTCTGTTTTTTTTTTTTTTTTGTTTGTTTCTAAATGTTTAACAATTTAATATTGTGGTAATTGTAGTTTTTTGTTTCTCACTTGCTTCACACTTCATAATAATTTTTAGAGAAGTTCGATTTTTATTTTTTAGTTTTAAATAAGTGCTGACAAGTAGTTAGGTTTTGAAATAATCAATTAATTGTCTTGTTTAAAATTTGGTGTAAATCAAGCAGAGAAAGTTTGAGAATTTTTTGAAAAATCTGCTGTCTAGGCCAAATCGTCTATTTAATTAAATATCCACAGTTCTTATTGGATATATGAGGGTCCAGTCATGTTCCTCTGCCTATTGGATGTTTTGAGGTGGAGCTAAACGTCTGTAATTTTCTATTTATAAGGTTAGTATTGAAAATGGGCAATATCGGTTTAGGATTTTCATACAGCGAAAATCGGACCTTGGATGGATACTTCATATTCAAAATTTGTTTGAAAATTACTAAATTTTATCAAATATTTTCGAGTTAAAAATTTTCGAATTTTTTGTCCATATCTGAGGAAAATTCTTTGGAATAGTTCTGGTTTTCAAAACAAAAATCAATCCACTAAAATACTGTCAAAAACTTTCAATCAATTTTGACCTAGTTTTGGCATGTGTTTAATTTTTTGTATTTCAATTCTTGCATAAAATCGAAATCTTCTGTTAGAATTATCATTGTGTTAATTTTCACATATTCTCTTTAGCATATGCCAAACGTGCAATTCCACAAATGACGACAATTTTATTTGCGTCTTGTTTACAATAAAGATGAATTCATTAGTATCAAACTAATTAAGCACCTCGGCTATGTTAAATTTTTAAAACGATCCTATTTCTTCATTTGAGTTCCGATCTTTTAGAAAATTTGCCTAGCACTATTATTTTCATCCATAAGGTTAACTCTTAAATTTGTTACATATATGGATGAAAATAATAGTGCTAGGTAAATTTTCCAAAAGATGTTGAGTTTTCCCTAATTAATTTGTCACTTAAAAAATTAGGTAGGCATGTTATATATCAATGGAAAGGTAATTTTGTCTATTTTTCAAAACTGTATATAATATTTGAAATTAAAAAATTCGCGGAATACTTTTTTTAAAAAAAATTAAAAATGTTTTTTATTCAGTTTTTGCGAAGATACAAATTTTTCAAATTGCAATAAAAATTTTATTTGAATATTTTTTGATGAAATTTTACAGTTAGGTAGATTTTTTTACTCAAAATCCAAAATTAAATAAAAATTTCGAATTTTCTTATTAGAAATCCCGGAATTCCCAAAAAGTTTTAAAAAAATCCCAGATTTTTCTCCGAAGTCTATAGGTTAGTCGAATATTAATTCACTACATGGCCAATTACAATTACTTGTAATGTGTAATTGAAAAATAACCAATTACAATTATTTGTAATTGTAATTGAAATTTTTGTGGTATGCAATTTTCCAATTACAATTACTTGTATTTGCAATAGAAGTTTTCAATTAAAATTACTTGTAATTGTAATTTAGGTATTACTAATTACAAAATTACGTGTAATTATAAGGACAAAATTTACAATTACAAGTAATTGTTACTGGAAATTCTCCAATTACAATTAAAAGTAATTGTAATTGGCAAAACTTCAATTACAAGTAATTGTAATTGGCGAAAATTCAATTACAAGTAATTATAATTGGTGAATCTTACATTTGAAGTAATTGTAATTGAAAATGTAGTCATTACCCCCCATGCCTGGTATAATTCAACAAACAATATCATTACACCCTTTTAACAATTTTAAACCTCATAAATCATTCTTAAAAGGTGGCAGTTGTAACTTCAACCGCAATCTAAAGTTGCAACCTGATTTAATTTCAAATATAAAAAAGGAGTAAAATATAAAAATCACATACACATACATATGTACATATTTCTGGGAAGTAGAAAATAATACCCACAATTAACGTCATTTATGTGCAGTAAAAACTTTGCCAGGACTAAATTAAGTTGCCTTTACTTATAAAGAATTTATTCATGTAATATTTGCTCCAGGAATTAAAAGCAACACAGTAGTTGCCTCAGACATGAACGTACATCAACAGATATGTGGCATGCAATATACATTCCTCCTCATAAAAGTAATTTAAATTTCTATGCAACATGTATTTCTTTACGTTGCAATCCTTTGAAATTAAATTTTGTAAAATACAGGCATGCAACATGCTAAAATTAAGTATGTATATATGTATATACTTAGATGGGCAACATAATTTGTGAAAATCAAGAAAGTAAAACACCAACCTGTATTAAGGCACAACACGGTCAAAAATAATAAAGCACAAATATAACCGAATGAAGGCATGGTTTTAAAAATTTTGTTTTTGATATTTTTCTTTTTTAGAAATTTTTTATTTTTATAAAATCAGTTTCACTTTTTATTAAATATTTATTTTACCGCTAATATTTTTTAATAAAATTATTTAAATTTTTTTTCGTTACTTTATTTTTTTATTATTATTATTATTTTATTTTTTATTTAAATATTTATTTTTATTTTTTAAATAATCTTCACGAATAATGAATTCGACTCGTTGGCCACTGAACGCAAACTAAAATAAAAACTAAAATGAATTTCGTGTTGTATGAATAAAACTGTGTGAATGAATGGGTATGGTTAAATGAACGAACGTCTCACAAAATGAATAAATGAACTGATGGTTTGAATAAACAATCGTTGTATAGTGTTTGCTGCTCTGTTTTCACTGTTGCATGGGCCTCTGGAATCGTTCGTCTACAAAATGCATGAGTTTGAGTAGTAGTAAAATACAAAAAAATAAAACTAAAACTGAGAAAAATCACACATATGAAGAAACTTTTCATATATATTAAAGTCCGCAAAAAATATTGCAACAAATTTCAATTTAGCGGTTTTATTTTAGATGAAGTTAAATCCGTTTTTTTATATATTGTTAATAAGGAAAGAAAAGTGATACAAAACTGGTTTTGAGACTGAATTTTAGAGTTTTTGGTCTTTGTTACTTTATATAAAGGAGACCACACATAATTTCATATTATTCAATATTAAAATAGTGGTAAAAAATCGGTTTAATTGTTATATTCTGGATTTACATAGACCCCAATCATGGTCGGAATTGGATTTGAAAACCACAAAAAACATACATTGTGATAATGAAATCCGACATTATCCCTTCTATGTTCGATCTGGAATTCGATTCTTTATCGAATTTATTGTTTTCAAAACCAACATTATGATAACTATGATTGCCATGAATGACTTTGATGTCTCCTTAACGACATTTTCTCAAAATTTACTAATTGTACCCGACTTAAAAAATATTAATTGTGTCATTTCCTGAGTAACTCATCGATATAATATTGGTTGTTATTAGATATATTGGTTCTTATTAGATCCCAATCTAGCAATGACCGTCCTACCTTCTGTCGCTCCGTCCGTTAACAATGCGAAAATATTATGAATAGTGAGTATAAGTAACTTATTATACCCTACACCACTTAGTGGGGAGGGTATATTGGGTTTGTGCTGATGTATGGAACGCATTGTAGTATACCAATCAATCAGCTCAGAATCATTCTCTTAAACGATTTAGCTATGCCCGCACATCTGTCCGTCCATGCAAACCTTATAATCAAACTATAGGTATTTTCGAGATAATTTGATGAAATTTGACACAAACGTTTCTTTTGACCCAATGGCGAAGCCTATTGAAAATCAGTTCATTATTTCACCTAGCCCCCATACAGCCGTACCCCGAAATAGGGCTTCTGAGCCCATAGTTATGTTATCTCTACCAAAATCGGCACAACTTAGTTTTGTGTTAGTCTGAATGTTATTGATGATTTTCTTAATGATCGGGCTTTATTTGACCCTAGCCCCCATACAAGGCCGTCTTTAGAAAATTATTTGAAAAATCAATAAACACAAGTATCATGATAAAACTGTGCTTAAATAACTTTAATGTGAACGTAAATACCTCTGTCAATATTTATGCGGATAGTCCCATATTGACCCTTACCCCCTATAACACATTTTTTTTGTCAACAAATTGTTAAAATACTTCGGAATTAAGGCTATATTATTAAAAATAATCCACATTTTTTAAATACTATTCACTGGTGTTAGCATCACTGTTCATAGACTCATACATAAAAAATAAAGCACGAAGTGTTAAAAGCACGCATACATTTATGTATGCAGTGACGATCGTAGGTACTTGCGACATAGATAAAAATGTTATAGAAAATAGTACCATTTTAAGTACTACATATTTTGAAAAAAAAAAAATTAAAAATGTTTTTTTAATCCAATTTTAAGTTTAATAATTCACACCTAGGTTAAAAGACACATTTTATAAAAAAAATTGTTAAATATAAAAAAAGTACTTTTATGAATAATTTTAGTACCAACATTTTATTGTTTTAAAAAATATACAATTTGGAGGGAATTTTTGATGAAAAATGTCTTGACTCTTTAATAATTAAGCAATTTTAGGGTTTTCTTGCGTTTGAATTGATCAGCCGTTTTTAATACATGTGTATATGTATGTAAATAACAGATTTTGTATAGAATATATATAACGTATCCAAAAAAAATCAATTTTCCTCATCACTTAAAACAAAAGTCCTTAAACCAACAAGTTTTTATCAAGGAAACATACATATATCTGAAATAACAGCAACAAAAACAGGAGATATTAGAATGGTACCAAACATTTATATTTGATACCTCCTCAGTTTAGGAAGTTTTATATACAAAATAAATATGTATGCTTAGAATGGGTTATATATTTATTTATATTTGCCTATAATATTATCATTTTAATCAAAAGAATCAGTGAAGTAACGAATACCCCCTAATTCGTATGCTCATACACATATAGGACTTTACAAAAAAAGTACGTTTTATTTGAAATTTTGTATGAGTTTAATTTCAAACTTTTTCAGTTTTGTCATGTGCACGAAAACAGCGTGTTGTGGAGCGAATGAACGAGTGGATGAAGTAAAGTTTTTGTCGTGCTTTTGAAAATGTTTAAAGGAAATCGAAAAGTTTTTCGTTTTTCTTCTGTTGACAAACATTTTTTATAGAAAAAAGTACTGTATGAAATTAATATGTAGTTGGTTTGTCTTTGTTGTTGCTATAACAAACAAATAGAGTTTGTTGTTAGTTTTATAAATAGTTTACTACAACAGTTAATTTTATCAGTTGCAAGACATTGTCGCCAACACCAGTTGTGTTAATAGCTTTTGTGTTTTTTTTTTTTTTGTTGTTTTTCCATATTTAATGTGTGATTTTCGAAGAAATCTGCTACTGTGATAATTAGCAGATTATTTGGTAGTTGGGCATTAACGATGAAAGGATACATATGTGTTTAATTACTATAAATATGTACTACATATTAAATATTAAATGGCATTCCTTAAACAAATATTTTTTATTTTAATATTTAACAAAAACTAATTTTATATTGGTCAAAATTAAGCTTTTTTTATAAAAATTAGTTTTGAGACAAACACCAGTTTTTCTCTACAGAAACATTCTGTTTATAACAAAGCTATTTTTTCAGCAAAAAGCTATTTTTCATCAAAAAGCATTTTAACTCATTAAACTCATTTAAATACAATTTCATCGATTATGGAAAATAGTTCTGTAATCTATTATCATAAAATTTCCAATGCAATTCTTTTAAAAAGTCTTTATATACATATCTATTATGTTCTGTAATTTTATAGCTTAAGCGTATTTACCCCTAAGTTTTATCATTAACATAAGTCTGCGTACCCAATTTCTAAAATATTGCCCTCAAGTAACACTATGTCAATTCTTTTGGCCAAACTCATTTATGTTCGAATTTCTTTTTAAACAAATTTTCATTTAACAAATTTCTCAACTAAATAAAATAGTAGTTTAGTTTTTTTTTTTCGTTTTATTTAGTTGAACAATTTGTAGATAAAGACAAGTTAAGAAAATTACAAAAAAACAAGTAGAATTTATAATCGGACATGGCCGATCCTACCCATGATACCCTACACCAGTGTTTACATTACAAATTTTGATTATTTTTTAATTTAATTTTTACCTTAATTTAAAAATATTTTAAGAATTTGTTGACAAAAAAGGGAATCTTCTAAAAGAGGGGTTGTATGAGGGCAGGGGCTTAATATGATACTATATTTACACATTTTGGTAGAGGGATTTACGTCTACATCAGTTATTTATGCAGAATATCATCGTAACATTAGTGTTAATAAGTGAATTTTGAGCATCAAGTGATTTTCGGAAGGGGACTTTGTATGAGGAATAGGGTCAAATGAGACCCGATCATACCGAAAATCATCAGTATCATTAAGACTTATATAAACTAAGATTAACAGATTTTTGAAGTGATACAAGAACATTTAACATATTTATGAGCTCAAAGCCCTATTCGTGGGGTACGGTTGTATGGGGCTATACGAAGCAATGGACCGATTTTAACCACTTTCAATAGACTTCATCTTTGGGTCAAAAGAAGAGTATGTGCCAAAGTTTATCTAATTATCTTGCGATCTGTAGAGTGCCCACAAGGTTTACATGGACACACAGACGGACGGACAGACGAACATAGCTAAATCCACTCAGAAAGTGATTGAGCCGATTAGTATACTTTAAGGTGGGTGTTACAAACATCAACACAAACGCATAATACCCTTCCCACTATAGTGGTGTAGAGTATAAAAAATCATATTTATCTTGTAAACAAGGGTCCCAGTTGGAAAATATACCACTATATACACAAGAAATAATTTATTTCTCAATGACCACTACTTACCATTATAAAAACATATTAGAAGTTTGATAATGTGGAAATTTGTTGAAATCACACACAAATTCTTAGTACAAAAGCAATACAATTCTCATTTAGTTAAGAATATTTTACACATAATTAAGACTAAAAATTTACTGGTGATCGGCTTAAACTTAGCTATAATATTAGAGTAATTTAATTTTAACCTATGTTATTTTGCAATCTTTATTTCCACTAGGGTTAAAAAATTATTTTTATATTTTAAGAAAATTAACAAAATCAACAAAAATAATCAAATTCTATTACAAGATGTAAGTGAATGTGAATTTATTTTTTTGCTTAAATGTAATCCAGACAAAATCAACAAATGTTCATTCCTCTAAAGTACATGTGGGAGGTTTTCCTACAAAGCAAAAAATATAAATAAATATTCGGACCACAAAAAAATGGGGTGAAAATGGGAAATAAAACAAAAAACCAATATCTCATGCTATGACTAAAACGACACACATTTCAGAACATTTTTTCGGTGTCGTTAAGTGTGTTGTTCTGACCAGACCGTCTGTTGCTCATTGCAATCTGTTGTTGCATTTGAAATGATTTTATTTTTATAGTTTTAGATTTTCACTCTAGGGAAAATGCAATTTATTTTTATTGTTGTATTTTATTTTTGTTACTGCTGCTGCTTTTGTTTGATGTCACATCACTTTATGAGAGGAGCGATGATGATGTTCTTGTTTTTAGTATTTATTTTCCAACATTTTAAGTAGATATTTATTTGATTCATTTGTTAAATTTAATTTTGTAAACTTATATTTTTATGTTGCAAGATTTCGTTGATGTTTTCTTGATTGCTGTGGATGGTTTCTTCAGGTTCTTTGTTTCAAAAATAATATGTTTTTTTAAATACATAATTTCAAGATGGTTGTTGTTAGAGTAAATATTATTCAATCTCCCTGGTCCGTTTAATATACGGGCAATGTGGAAATATCAAGTGACCCGACTCAAAAAATCGGTTTTGACGAAATTTGCACAAAGGTTAGTACACAAATCGGTCTAGAACTGCCGGACTTAGAGGGGGTCAAAGTTGGATATCTTGGTCATACGGGGTTTTATTCAAAATAGTGTAAGTAACTTTTCACCTATTGGTCCTATCAAAAATTGTCAAAGGAGTTAGATAGCTATCAAAATCGGAAGACATCGATTTTTAAAGTTGGGTCTCTGGACACGAAATGACTCAACATATGCATATATTGATCTACATTAAATCGTAATTTAATATCGAGGGACTATATTCAATAGTCTCTATCTAAAATAATACAAGTTTTCAGGAGAGCAAGCTGTTATTTCGCTTCTTCTTCTACATTATATTGTTACATAAAAATAATTTAAAATTTGGCAGTATTTTCAAAATAATTCACAAATTTATATCAGATAGAGAGTTTTGCATTCAGAATTTTTATTTTTTAAGATAGAGAAATTAAAAAATGACAGATAGAGAATATTGAATATAGTTCCTCGATATGTAGTTGTTTTATTTAATAATTTTCTTTCATTGAAACGTTTTCAGACAAAGAAGAATTTTCATTGGACATTTAAATTGCATTTTATATGATTTATTACTTTTTCTATGCAAATGACCTACATTTTAATCATGTAGCTGATATTTTCAATAATTAAGTGTGTCATATGACGTCACTTTTCCACCCATTATTATACCCATATTTCCCAGATGTTCTAAATGTATCACTTATTAATATACATACATAGATATTTAAGTATTTTTGTTTAATTATGTGTCAATTATTTACTTAACATGTAGCAAGTAGTCAAACACCACTTTACTGTCTCTAAGTAATGTAGAATGTTGACAATTCAAACTTTTTTATATTGACTTTTCTTGCCAACAAAATCTTTATAGAAATAATTTCCTTTATCTTTAGACATGCCTTCATTAAGAATTAATCGAAAGTCTCCCAAAACTGCTGGGCTTCATAACACAACATAACTCATACTCACTTTGATTTCTAGTAAATAATTCAATACTTATACTGAACATACAAATAATAGAAGTTCCTTTGATAATAGTTCTGAAAACCTCAATCATATTTTGAAATTGTTGACACCTCATAACGACCACTCAGCACACAGGCATTACGTGCTGGAAAAAAATTGTCCTTCAATCTATGCGAGTGTGTGTGCCTTTATATGTGAATGTTATGATAAAAATAAAGGACAATGCCTATATCCTGTTTAAGTCTAGTAAATGCTATTTTATTTCTATTCCTTCTATTAAACGTCATTAACACATACCAAAGATAAGAAAATAATACATAGTAGTAAATAAATAAATAAAAACACAACGAAAAAAATAATCAATGAATTTAATAATAAAATTTATGTTGTGGGCAGTTATTGTTGCAGGAAAAGGACGAACAATTAGACAGCATAAAAAACATATTTCTAAAATTAAGGGCGGTGGGTAGCACGTAAATTTATTTGTTTTTTTCCACATGATTGCACATGTTAAACATGTCCTGATTTCTTTTCTAAGGCAGTATTAATAGTGTGTCATTACTTAGCTACTTCTAAGTAATGCTGACAATAAGCAATACTCCTAACAAAGTATATTTAAAATAAGTTTAATTTTTAACAAATTTTAACGTATATTACTCCAAAAATGTTTAAGAAATTCGTGGCAGTTCGTTCTATTTTAACATAATTTGTGTTTAATTCCTCCATTAAATGCATGCATGCATGCTCGTGTCTTCCTGTGAGTGAGTGGATGGGTTGGGTGGCAATTTCCTTTTCAGGCCATTAACATTACAATAAAAAAGAAAACTCACTGACATGTCATGCCATAATTATTGAACAAATCAATTTAAATGTAATTTTAGAATTAATTCATCCTCATTTCTTGTTTGTTCTATGTTAAATTAATGCATGTATGATTAATTGTTAGAATACCAAATAGGCGCTTAGTTAAAAACGCTCTTAGTCATAAATTAATAAATAGGTATGTAGTTAGTGTGTTCCACATAAAAGTTTAATTATTTTATTTTGGTCTACACATTCAAATGTTATTTATATAATTATGCTTAATGGTTGTTTAGTTATTATTTCTAATTAAATATATTTTCTTGATATGCGTTTGCACATATAAATATTTATAAATCGAAAACGTAAAAAAGCTATTTATAGTCTACTATTACAGTGCTATTGTAATCGACTTATACAAAATATTATGGTTTCAACCACAATTTAAAAAATACATACTGGAATAATGGGAAGTCTAGTCTATAGTTTAGTCTATATTCTAGTCTATAATCTAGTCTATATTCCGCTCTATAATCTAATATAAAACCTAGTTGTAGTAGTCTAGGCTGGTAGTATAGTCCGTAGTCTATTATACAGTTTAGTCCGTAGTCAAGTCTACTCTATAATAAAGTCTGCAGTGTAGTCTATTCTACAGTCTTAGCCCGTAGACAAGGAGTCTATAGTATGGTTAATTCCAAAGGGTATTATGCGTGTGTGCTGATCAGAATCACTTTCTCAGCCGATTTACCTATGTCCGTCCATCTGTGTGTTCATGTAAACCTTGTGCGCACTCAACAGGTTGCAATTTTTTGATAAAATTTAGAACGTCCGCTTCTTTTGGTCCAAGTACGAACGCTATTGAAAATGGTTGAAATCGGTCCATTATTTCACATAGCCCCCATACAACCGTACCCCCCGAATAAGGCTTTTTAGCTTATAAATATGTTAAATGTTCTTGTATCACTTTAAAAATCGGCAAAACTTAGTTTTATATTGTTCTTAATGATACTAATGATTTTCGTAATGGTCGGGCCTCATTTGACCCTATCCCCCATACACACTCCCCTTCAGAAAATGACTTGGTGGTCAAAATTCATTTATAAACACTAATATCATGATGATATTCTGCATAAATAACTGATGTAGATATAAATCCCTCTACTAAAATTTATAAGGATAGGACCCCCTGGCCCCATATAACCCCTGATTTAGAAAATTCCTTTCTTGTCAACAAATTGTTAAAATATTTTTGAAGTAAGGTAAAAATGAAATAAATTCTTTATTATTAAAAAAATAATCAACATTTTTAACACTGGTATAGGGTAGATCTGCCATATTAATTTTCAATGCCTAGTCTATGGTGAAAAAATTTACATTATTCTGACAGCATTTTCAAAACTAAACAAATTTTGTTTAACATATTAAAAAAAATTATACATAGTTTTTTTGACCCCAATTTTGACAATTCTCAATTTCAGCAAAAATTATCAGAATTTTTAAACTGAAAATCAAAAAATAAACTTTTAAAGGACTGAGAAGTCTAAAAAAAGCGCCATTAAAATATTATTATAACGAACATAAGTTCGTTGTGTTAGCTAGCAAAGTTAAAACCGTTAAAAATTCAAAACAACCCTGCTGCAATTAAAAAATATGCAACAAGTTGTTATTGTTGCCAGTAGCAACGATTTTGTGTTTCCAGGACAACCTTAAAAGGTATACAAATGCCTTTCTTGGAAACTAATATAAAAAATTAATCAGTGAAAAAGTGTAGTGCTAAATTAAAATGAAATTAAAAACGCATATCTGTAAAAAGACTCCTACCAATTTAAATGGTGATTATCTCACACAAAACTCGACATCAAAATCAGCCACGGCTAAAGAAAATAGTAACAATGAAAAATCTTTGGATATTTTACCTTTAAGCTGTGTAGATTGGAGCAGTAATGATGATATTTATTTTGTAAGGTACACGAATTTCTCCTTATTCCTCTTAATATGTAATGAGTAAAAAGTAACAAACGAATTCTAACCAACTTAGTGATGATCATCAGATTTACAAATGGAGTTCTGCTACCCGAGATTCTTTGGAGGTGGCCAAATTACCAGAGGATTTTATACCCACTGATTTACACTGGCTGTTATTGGGTGGTCGTGGTAGTGGTGGGGGCAAGGGTAGTGATACCTTGTTAATTAGTAGTAATGATGGCAGGTTTATTATTTTAAATAAAAGTTCTCGCGTGGAGCGTAGTATATCAGCTCATACAGCGGCCATAAGCTCAGGCAGATGGAGTCCGGATGGAGCAGGTTTATTAACTGGTAACAATTTGACATAAAATTTGGAAATTTTATAAAACTCAACATAAAATTTTAAAAGCGGGAGAAGATGGAGTCATTAAAATCTGGTCTAGATCTGGTATGTTGCGTTCTACCATTTTGCAAAGTGATGAACCCATACGTTGTGCTCGTTGGTCGTCAAATTCTTCAGCTATTGTATTTTGTCAGGGTGGACATATATCGGTGAAACCTTTAGCAGCTAATAGTAAATTAATAAGGGTAAATAATACAAAGCTAAATTACTATTCGTCTATTTTCACTTCCTTTTCGCTGCTAGTGGCGTGCTCATGATGGTTTGGTCTTGTCTTTAAGTTGGTCTGCCCAATCAAATATAATAGCTTCCGGGGGTGAGGATTTTCGTTTTAAAATTTGGGACTATCAAGGAGCAAACCTTTTCATAAGTTCACCTGAAGATTATGCCATTACCTCAGTGGCTTTTAATCCAGAAAAAGATGTCTTACTTGTAAGCACCTTCAATATGCTAAAATTATGCTCTAGTGCAGGAGTAAGTAATAATCTAATCCCTTAAAACTGGACGTAGTAATGTATTAATTACCTTTAAAGTGGACTTATAGTACGGCCCGTTTTAATGAACCATCAGTGGGTTCATTTCACACACTCTCTTGGTCTGCAGATGGCACACAAGTGGCATGTGGTACTTCTACTGGACAACTTATCGTTGGCTATATTGTACAAAAACAATTGATATCGAAAAATCTAAAAGCCACTACTACTGGTCGCAAATCCATACGTCTTGAGGATATTGTCAATAGCACCAGTGATGTTTTGGAGTTTACCGATCGTGTCATTAATTTTGGTTTGGGTTATGGTCACTTAATTGTAGCCACGTCTAATCAAATACATATTTACAATGAGAAATATATAAATACACCGATCATTATAGATGGTCGTACCGATGTTCGAGTCATTGAAGTGGGAAAGAAGTATTTGGTGGAGTTATATTTTTTTTGGAATTTTTAGAAATTAATATTTCCTATTTTTATTTAAGATTTTTTATGGTTCTGGACTCTACTTCAATTTGGGTTTATACTTTCACCGGTCGTTTGCATCTTAATCCCCGATATCCGGGTTCTCAAGCTCAGATACCAATGCTAAATGCACGTAGTATTTCATTGGGCTTGGATACCTTGGTAATAAGAGATAATTCTGATAACACAAGTAAGAAAAGTTTTCAGAAGTGTAAGGAATAAAATAATTTCATAACTAATGTCTGTTCTCCCAATATTCTGTTAAAGCCTTGCATATTTTTGACCTTATACCCGGAGCTACCAGACAGTACGAACCATTTTCTCTTAAAGCTAAAACTCAAATAGCAGAAATCGCAGCCTGTCGGGCCGGCACTGTTGACGATCAATTTGTGGTCATGATTGACCATAACCGGGAGCTCTATATAACGGAAACTCGAAACTTGAACGGCAACACTGAACGCACTAACATAGCAGGAATTTCGGGAGCTACCACAGGAGAAGTCTATAAAATAGGCACCCAACTAACGGCAGTAAAATGGGCCAGTGAATCAAATATTTTAGTAGGAGTACATGATGCCTGCTATAGTATATGGTATTGTCCAGGAGAGGGAGCCACAGATCCCACCATAATTGCTTTGACTACAATAACAATAGATGCGACGTATGTTGAAAATATTTTTCTTGTAGAAGTTTTAATTGATATTTAAACATTTTAAGGGAGTTTGGCAAAAATATTGTCATCGAAAGTTTCGAAGATGCCATTGTTACCTTTCGTTGCTCGGGCGCTTTACTACCCATTAGTATTAATATGTATTGTGAGATCTTACATCGCACTTTAATGGAGTCACAGTGGCAACAAGCTTTGAAAATATGTCGCATGGCTCAAAATGCTTATCTCTGGGCCACTTTGGCTGCTGTAGCCACTCGAAAGAATCAATTGCAAATCAGTGAAGAAGCTTATTCGGCTGCCTTACAAATCGATAAAGTAAGCTACTTGCAGTATATCAAAACTTTGGATCCCTCCAGCCCAGACTATATGGCTGAAAATTCTTTAATGTTGGGTAGACTTATCGAAGCGGAAACTATTCTAATACATAATCGTAAATATCGAGAAGCTGTTGGTCTCTGTTTACGCATGCATAATTGGCGTAAAGCTTTGGAAATTGCTCAAAAACATGAAAATGATCTAATGGAATTGGTTTTGCAACAGCGTATAAAATATTTGAAGGCTTTGGGTAGAGATGAATGGGATACAGTGTTTTTAAGTTTAGATGTTAAAGACAACAATCTGAGTGAATGAATTGGATTGAAATTAAAAATATTAAAAAATACTAAATTTCTTTACGATACTTTATTAAATACATAACGATAAAAATATGGTTTTATTTTAATACGCTGGCGAAATCATGGGTTTGCCTTCCAAGGCATTTAAAATGTTATTGGCGGCAACCATTCCCATTTCGGTGGTAGTCTTTATTGTTTGAGTTCCCAAGTGAGGTATGATGACTGCATAGAGATAATAAAATTATTAAATAAAAATAAATAAATAAATCGCATCAAAACTTACCGCAATTAGGAAGTGTTAGTAAAGGATCTGTGGCTGGCAAGGGTTCTGGTGTCATGACATCCAAACCGGCTGAAAATATTTGCCCCGATTTTAAAGCATTATATAAAGCAGCTTGGTCCACAATACCTTAAATAGGAAATTAATATAAAGTAAATTTATTTTTTTTTGTTAGTTCTAATAAAACAAATTAATTTTACCTCCTCGGCCCACATTAACAAAAACACAGTTTTTCTTCATTTGTCCGAAAGCTTCTGCATTAAACTTCCCCTTGGTTTCTGGTGTTAAAGGACATGCCACTACTAGAAAATCACTTTCCTTTAAAAGTTCTTCAAAGGTCACATGATGTGCGTTTAATTCTTTATCATTTGCTTTGGGTGTACGTGTGTGATAGATAATTTTCCTAGTGTCCCAACACTGTAGACGTTTGGCTATGGCCTGGCCAATACCACCGAAACCTAAGAAACCAATAGTAGAGTCACGTATTTCTTGTCCCATCAACCAATTGATGCGTTCAGTTTTCCACAAAGAACTGTAAATTAAATTTAAATCTGGCAATGCTTAAATTTGAAAAGTAACAGTTTTCTATTTAACAGAAATATGTGTTTGTTTGCAGTAAAAGCTTTATTTCAATAGAGTGCTTTATGTTAAAAATGTACCATAACTATAAAAGCTTTATTACTTATATATTAACCCTTTAATGGGAAGTTATTTTATTTCATTGTTGAAAATAGTTTGAATATAATTTTAAAATGCAAACATACATACATCACATAAATTCTTTTGTTTAAAAAATACATATTTCCACTAAAAACTATTTAAAAAAAAAACGACGAATTTCACTTTTCGCTAAAATTATTTTGTTTATATGTCACTAAAAAGTTGATTTATGTTTAGAAAATGGATGTCTTCGAATATTAAACTTTTTACTAAACAAATATTTTTGACAATCGATTTCTTACCAAAACCCCATTTTTGCTTAAAACTTCAATTTCTACTTAAAGTCAATCTTCCAGCAATTTCTTTTATTACAAAATGTGTAAAAATGTCCCCCACTACTACTATAGGGTTAAAAGAGCTTTTCATTTACGAAAGCTTTTTTAAATTAATCAAACAGCTGTTTACACTAATTTATGTTTAGCTACTATAATATATTTTTGATAACAACAGATTAGTATAAAAAAAATCATTTGTACTTACTTATCAATTTCTTGTCTTCCCGCATGGAAAAATCTTCCAGCTGATATCATCAGACCAATTGCTAAATCTGCCACGGAATTTTTCACTATACCTGGCGTATGACCCAATGGCATTTGACGTCTTTTAAACTCGGGCACATCAACATAATCAATGCCAGATGACATTGTTGATACCGCTTTTAGCTGTGAACCGGCAGCATCTAATATTTCCGAATTGAGAGGTTGATAATGTGCCCAAAAGATGGCATCTACACCGGGTAATTTTTGTAAAATATCCGAACGTACCGGGGGAACATTTTGACAAACGATTGTCTCACAACCGCGTTGACGTAAATACTCGAGAACGGGTGTGGGAACTTCTGGATGGGAGACGAGAACTTTATAAATGCGACGAGCGGCTGACATCCTAATAGTATTTGACTAAGGGGGAAACTAAAGTTGTTTTGAATATTTGCAAAAAAATATTTAGAATTAGTTAATGACAAATATTATTATATTGTTCTCTTTGAAAAAGCTTTATTAAAACTTATGTATATTTTCTCTTAAAATTTTGCAAATTTTTATTTATTTAAGAGAATTTAAATTTAATTCAAATATGTATGTTCAAATTTATTTATTTATATGTAGTATGTTTAGCAAATTTGATTTCAGATAAACCGGTTAACTAGGGTTAAACGAAAACACGATTTTTTCAATGTTTGGGTTATTCAAAAGCCTTTAACAATTTTTAAAAACTTCGATTAATCGGTTTGACCGGCTTTTTATATACTGTTCTATAAATAGTAAATTTTCTATTATACCAAATGCATTTGATAGTTTGAACAATTTGAAATCCTTAAGGTTGACAAATAAGATTTTATATTTAGAATGCAAATTGAATACATTATTGACACCATAACTAAAACCACCGTTATACCAATTCACCTTTGTATGTATATTAAGTTGGTAACCTTAAAAAATCTTTTCATTTCCCACCGGTTTGTAATTTTTTAATAAATTACATTATACATTACATTATTCATTATTCTTTATTTTTTATGTTAATAAATCAATTAGATTCAAGTACAAAAACATGATCAGATTATTTTTATTTATTCTTTTTTTTTATTGTCAATACTTTTAAAGTTATAAAACTGGTCCTGTTAATTATATATATATTCTTGTTTCCATATATTTATACCGACATGACATTTTGATTGGTTTATTAAATAAATTGTTTCAATTTAATATGCTGGCGAAAACATGGGTTCTCCTGCTATACCTCTCAAGACATTATGCGCTGCAATAATGGACATGTCAGTACGGGTTCTCTTGGTGGCTGAGCCAATATGTGGGGTAACAACTGCAATGAAAAGCGTTTAAGATTAAAGTTAAAAAAAGTATTCTAAAATTTAGAGAATTTCTAAATCCGATAAATATCTAAATTAAAATGTAAAAGTTTAACCATTTGACTTCGACCTTCACATTTTATGGGTTAGTATTATAGGATTTTACTAGAGCTTATATATTTTCTATTATCTGAACTTTGATATTCAGAAATTTTTCGATGTTTCTCAAAATAAATTAATCCCAAAAAACAGTTTTTAAAAGAAAATATTGCTCTAGTTCATTTGAAACTTACCCAAATTAGGCAAAGTTAATAATTTGTCATCAGCAGGCAAAGGTTCAGGGGTCGTAACATCTAAACCGGCGGCAAAGATTTGGCCAGACTTCAAAGCTGTATACAAATCGTCTTGATTCACAATTTCTATAATATGTATAAAAAAAGAACATTGATATAAGTTGAAAATTATATTTTTGTTTCCTCAACTTACGTCCTCTGGCAATGTTAACCAATACAGCAGTTTTCTTCATTTTAGCATAAGCGGTAGTATTGAAAATACCCTGAGTTTCAGCAGTTAAGGGGGCGGCAATGAAAATAAAATCACTTTGAGCCAAGAGTTCATGGAATGGAACCTTGGAAGCATTGAATTCTTTTTCCAAATCCTTGGAAATACGTTTGCGGGTAGTGTAGAGTACACGATCGATATCAAAACCACTCAAGCGTTTGGCAATAGCCTGGCCAATGCCGCCAAAACCAAAGAAACCCACAGTAGAGGCGCGTATTTCCTGGCCCCACATCCATTCCAAATGATAGTTTTCCCAATTAGAACTTAAATATAAAAAAACATTATTGTTATTAACATAATAATTGTAAGTAACAGTTTACTTTTACCTATCAATCTTATTTCTGCCCTCGTGGAAACGTCTAGCAGCGGCCAACATAAGACCCACGGCTACATCGGCCACAGCATTATTCAAAACAACGGGGGTATTACCCAAAGGAATTTTACGTTTCTTAAGCTCCTCCACATCTACATAATCAATACCAGCCGACATGGTTGAAATTGCCTTCAACTGAGGACCAGCAGCATCTAGAACTTCAGCATTGAGAGGATTGTGACCACCCCAAAATATACCGTGAGCACCTTTAACTTTTTCCAAGATTTCCGTTTGGTTTGGTGGCAAGCTTTGGCATACAACCACTTCACATACACTGAGTAAATCTATAGCTTCTTTAGGTACTTCAGGATGTGTAACTACAATTTTAAAGGTGGGCTCCTCGACAGACTCAGACGATTCGGAGGACTCTTTACTTTGAGGTTTTGGTGTGGGATCCATTTTACCTTTACGAGATAAACGTGATGCATCATTTGAAACAATACAGGAACCCAGTAGTAGGGTGAATATAACTAGATTTATTTTTGTCATTTTATGTAAAAAAAATTAACACACTATCTTAACAACTTTTTTCAATTAACCACTAGAGAACGTGTGTACTAATGACTTGAGTTTTGAATAACAACTGATTGTACTCTAGATAAAGAAGGTTCTTTAAATCTCTTTTTTATTTGAGCCCGTGTAAGCCAACCAACTGCAAAACTTTAAGAACCTGTCAGACAAACACTTTAATCTTCAGTCAACATTTATAAACAAAAAGATAAACTTTTGAACCTGTTTACTCTTGTCATTTTGACTGTGGATTTTTTTTTTTCATTGTTTACTTAAACTTAAGTAAATTCGAAATAGTTTTTGATTTTTATTTAAATTCTCTCTTTAAGAAAGGAATCTTGTCTCTTAGTAGTTTGGAGCATAATACCTATAACAATTCATATGAAAGAATCTGTAGAAAAGTATGTTCTCAATTTTATGGTTGAATCACGATTTGAAGTATCTATAAGGTGGGGTGACCAACTGTTGGAAACTGAACGATATAGTTTTCTTTTTCAAAAAAAATTTTTTAAGATTTAAACTTAACCTTAACCTACTTAAATATTGGTGTAAAATAACTAATTTTGTTATTTGTAATATTTTCAGTAAAAATTTAAAATATTTTTTCAAAATGTATAAAATTTGTGCGAATTTTGCGAAAAAAAGCTTAATTTCTTGCATTAAATTAAATAAAAATATGGCAATATAAATTAATTGATTGTTTTTGTTTAAATATTTGTTATTCAGTTTCTCTTAATTGTTTTTTTTCAATGCAAATTCTCTTTGACTTGACTCAATGAATTTAAATTTATTATATGTGTTTATTTAATTGTTTTATATAAATATATCGCATATACCTATTAGTTTATTTTTAATTCAGTTCACTTACTTTTTTGTTTGTAATTATTGGCCTGGGGTCTTCGTCTAAACCCAGTTAAGTTCAATTGTTTACTGAATTATTAGAACTTTTTCAGTTTTACTAGAAAGTTACTAGTGCAGTTTGTCATTATTTTTTATTCGATATTTGTAATTATGGTTGCATCTCTTTTTAACATTTTACTCATTCTCTCTCTTTTACACTAAGATAAGTTTTTTGTTTTTAATTTATTTTTTTTTTTTATTTATTGAATTGTGTTCACTCGCTTATCTTTCCATGAGTAGTTTTTTGATAATTTTGTTTAAAATTAAATAAACAATTTATTAACAAAAATAGCCAACATATGTTTTTTAATGTTTTGTGAAATCATTTGTTTAAGTAGGTATTGTTATTTATTTTTTTATAAATTTTAAAACTGAATTAATAAATATGTATAAATCGTAAATTGAGCTTTTTAATGACCTTGTAAGAATAATTAGTTTAACTAGGAATTTATTTATTTTCCTTTAATTTTAAAAATATATTCCATAACAATTGCTATTTGTTGCATTAATTATCTGTTAATAAGTATGTACGTAATAAATAGCGGAGTGTTTGCTATTTTGTTCTCTTTTCAAAATCAGAATTAGTCACATAATATTTGGGTATTGGGTATATAAATTAACAAGTAAGAAATTATGGTCGGGCGAGGCCGACCATATAATACCCTACACCTGTTACAAAAATAAAATGTGATTTAGTTTTCATAATAAAGCGTTTAAGTTGAATTGTACCTTGCCTCAGATATACTTAAGCCATTTATTGTTGAAATTGGTCAATTGAGACCCTATAATTATAAAATTCATGAGAGTCATCAAGGCTAGTATAGAACTTGGTTTTGCCGCTTTTTGTCGATATACGAGTATATTTAACATAATTATCAACTTAAAAGCCCTATTCGACGGGTTCAGTTGTATGGTGGCTAGGTGAAATAATGGACCGATGTTAACCATTTCAATAGGTTTCGTCCCTGGGGCAATAGAAGATCATGTACCAAATTTCAATGAATTATCTTCAACATTGCGACATAGCTAAATCTACTCCGAAAATGATTCTAAGTCGATTGGTATACTTTAAGGTAGGTATAGGACAAATATCCTCTCCACTAAAGTGGTGTAGGGTATAAAATCCGAGATCTACAACAAATCATTTGATCGGAATACATAATTATTCAACATCATGTCATTGGCTAAACCAATTTATACAAATTTTCATAGTGTCTTTCTGTAAAAAGGCGACTTTTTATTTCAAAATTAGGAGATGTGCCACGCCCACATACAAAAAAGTATTAAAATCTTATCTCAGAAACTGCAACAGCTAGTGTCCACAGATTTTATATGGACAACTTTGACATCCATATGAATAATTTGGAACAATATGGGCCTATAGTGGTCGTGCCTGAGAAAATATAACACTTAGAGTCCTAAAAGCCATTGAGTGTTATTAAGAGAAAATGTGCGGGCTGACAAAAGGGGCATAGTACCTCTCATATGAATAATGTGTGCACCTTGGAGTTAGAATCTTTAAATTTTGCATGGACAATATTGAAATCCAATTTGAAAAACAATGACCGGAATAGCAATAGGGGCGTGGCACCTCTCATATAAATTAAATACAAAAATTCCTATATCATGGAAACTATTGGAGCTAGAATCCTCAAAATTTGTATGAATAACTTTTTCATTCATGTGAATGTTTGGGTAATAGGGGGCTTGACATCTTCTATATAAATTAAATACAAAAATCGTATATCTGGAAAACCCCTAAAACTAGAATTATCAAATTTTGCACGTTGAAAAGCATATGAATATTTAGAAAACTTTTGTAAACTTACAATAGTGGGAGTGACATGAATTAAATAAATAAGTCCTTTTGTATGGACAGCAGATAAGAAGCACCCTGATGATATATGAACGTTAAAGACATTTTCTTAAGGGCAGTCTAGGGGTACTAATATGGTCGACATACTTTAGATGTACTATATTCACTAACTACTTATAGCTAATACCATTCTGAGTCTACTGTCTATGAGTCTACTAGTCAATATTTCGATTGTTTTTTATTGTGGACATAAATGAAGGCTTCATGGTACTTAACTTGTTTATTCATCTAAACAAAATCGTACTTATGTTTAAAAAATAATTAAAGTAAATTAATTTTCAATAAAATCATCGTACCAATGTGCAATAGCATTGATACAATGGAATTATTGTACCCAAAAACTATAAGTACTTTTACATGGCAATTCATATTACAAACAAACTACTTACTAATTGTGCAGGCCATTATATAATTTGGGAAATTTACCCTCATAACAAAAACAAAGCCAGGGTAACAGCCATAAGTTGCAACATGGTTTTTCACTTTATCAAATTATCATGCACCAATTGGAGGTAATAATAATTCTTTCTCCTTGTGAGTGCAACAGCAAATTTTGGTAAAACAGGAGAAGTCTCGTAACCATTGCTCCTTGTACATGCAACATCATGTGTTAAAAACCACTTATAGAAAATAAAATTAAAAATACAACAAACACTTTCCATTGTCATGTAGGGATAGATTTTACTCTATGCAGTCTTTTGAACTTTTTTTGGAATAGGAACTTGCTGGAAAACCTGAAATCCCCATAATGTGCGGACAAAATTGAGAATAATTTTAGCTTTAAAAAACCAAAAAAGTACAAAAACTGGCTATAAAATATCTAAATAGGAGTACGAGCAAAAAAGTACTTAAATATTAATACAATAGATATTAAGAAAATCAGCTTGAAGTGGGGGAAATATTTAAAACACTTGACAAGGGGTATTTCTAAGTGATTCTAACAACATGGAGAAATTTATGCAATTTTAGTATAGGGGCGGCAGCAAAACCTGCTTATAATTTGTTCCTATACTGTTCTAGTGCATTGCAAGAACAGCTCCTTTTCCCAACTGTCGATGACGTTTTTTAATGCCACTGGTGTTGCTGCTGTTGTTAATTCTCATTATGTGCTTGCAACGCGTGGGCGTTTTAGGAGTCTCTTGGGAAATCCCCAACTGGTATTTTTATCAGGCCAACAGTTTTTTTAGTTGGCTGCTCCACTTAAAACTTTTATGTTGCATGTTTGTTGTTGTTTTATTTTCAGTTATAAAATTTAAAACGGAAAAAAATCTGCTTTTTTATTTCTGTAACAAATGAACTGTTTGCAAGAAATTCACAGGAACACCAACAGATGCTGTTGTCCGTACTTTTGTTTACCAGAAACAGAAATTGTGTGAATATGTTGTTTATTGTTTGTTTTTTCTTGTCTTCCAAAGTGCATTTTGCTGTGCATGGAAAGCAATACAACAAACCTATAAAGGGAAATGGAAAGGAATATATACATATGTATGTACATATATTTTTTTGTATTAATCATTTTAGTCACGCGATTTCTACTTATTTATGTGTTTTTGTTACTTTATTGGGTCTGTTGGTTAAAACGGGGAATTTCGACTTGTAAATATAAAGACATGTATTTAGTACCAATTTAAAGTTTGCATAAAATACTAAACAGGGTGTTGATACTATAAAAGTGGGGTGGGTGACTGCAATCAAGAATGTTTGTAATAACGCCATTAGCAGGAATTTCTTGTCACACCAAACTACATATCGTTGACTTAATGTAAAAAGGATCTTTTTCTGCTAAACTAGATTTTAGTTGAACAATTTTTCCTATCTTTTTGTAAAAAAAATTGACATTTTAGTGAATGAAAAGTCTTTCTGGGGAAGAGTCTTTTTCGGTGAGGTTGGAAATTTTTGGAATCCAGTTATAATTTCTTAAAATTTTATTTAAAATGGGAAAATGTGAAAACTGGGTTTCTTTAATAGCTTTCTGGTAAGGATGTTTCGTTGGAAATTTTTGGATAAAGCTTAAAATTGGTTAATTTTTGGAGAATGTTCTAGAAAATTTAAAAAATTTGTATACCCTACACCACTATAGTGGGGAGGGTATTATGCGTTTGTAACGCACAAAAATATTGGTCCTAACCCCAACCTTAAAGTATACCGATCGGCTCAGAATAATTTTCAGAGTCGATTAAGACATGTCTGTCCATGTAAACCTTTTGCGCAAGCTACAGTTCACAATTTTCAAGATATTTTGATGAAATACGTGTTTTTTCGGCATAAGGACGGTGCCTATTGAAAATGGTTGAAATCGGCCCCAACCACCTGACCTTCCGATTTGGGGTTTTTAACTCATAATTCTTTGTTAAAATATGGTGTCGGACATGGCCTACCTTTTTACTCTAAAAGAGGATTTCAAACGTTGTAAGCAGGGAGATTAGAATTGTAATTCGATCCATCTGTAAAGAACTTTCAATACATACGTATGCCTATTCAAGTTTTCTATCAATACTTTCCAATTAAAATTACAAATTAATGAAAAATGCATTAAATAAAATTATAGCACCATGCAACAGACAAAAAATGATATAATAATGTTGAAAATTTCACGCCCTTTAATTGAATTTTTACCAAGAAATAAAACACCTCATGAAAACAAAATCAAAAACTGATGATGACTTCCTACCGCGACTGCATCCATTTCCTGAAACTGAAATTTAGTTAAAAATTGCAATTTAATTTACATAAAATTAAATACACCAAATATATACAACATACACAAAATATTCATTCAACAAAAACCGAAAAAAAAACTCCAGAGACATTAATTTCCCTCAACTCCAAAAAAAGAAGCAGGAGACGTAGAGGCACACAATAAAAAAGGGTGGAGATTTTGTTGCTTCAGAAAGTCAGCAAAAGTCTCGTGTTGCATGCCACAAATACAACAAAATTGTGTGCATTTTAAATTACAAATGTAAATGTGTGTTTTACTGCGAAGGCGTTGGTAGTTGCAGAGATAGATGATGATGGAACAGTGGTGGATAGATGGATGGTTGCTTGGTTTGATTGTGTCGCGTGATTTCCTAACAAATCTATACAACAGACAGTACAGGAAAACTAAAGAAAATTAAAGGAGAAAGACATAAAACACACAAATAAGCTTGTATACGAAAAAAAAGATATTAAAATGTTGCAACAATTACATAGAAGTATAGAACGAATGAGTTATGTAGGTGAATTGAAAAGTATTTAAAAATGGGAATACTGCGTAACTAAGACAAATAAGAAAAATGTATTAGTTAACTAAAAATATGGTTACTAAATACTCCTTGTATTTTCAATAGAGATTTTTTCGAATTATTTTCTTTGGTATTATGATTATTCTCTAAT